TTCCCTTTGCCCCCACCTCTTCCTTGATCATCCCGCTCTAGAGAAGTGACACCAATGAAAAAGTAGGGAACATAAGAACCTTTAACACAATAACCTTTAACACACAAGAAGTAGTGTCATAATTTTTTCACCTTTTCAGGCAGAATTGGGGGAGAGGAAGAAAAGAAGACAACAAGAAACCAGCTTAACTTGCAATGAAGGAGGAGACAGGAGTATGTGTCACACTATCAGGAGTGAAACACTGGAAAAATTTATATAGGACAAACACAGAGCAATCTTTCTTAACCACTTCTTAGAAGCCACTTAGAAAACTGTCTTTTGAGAATGATCTAGGCTTACCATATCTTGCCACAGTGGCAAAGCTCACACTAGATGGTTACACTGCCTCTTCCACTCTACATTTACAGGCCTTCAGATATTGTTACCTCTGCATCTAGTGAGAGCTTTTCCTGTGCCTGTCATTCTGGTCTGTGAAAAACTATACTACTGTGGACTTTTTTGGAAGGAAAAGGTTGAGGGTTTTTTGTGGCTTGAGTATGTGGGTGGCCCTGCCTATGACTTGGGCCATGCTGCATGAAAATTCACGTACCGACAGGAAGAAGTTTTTTCTAACAGCTTAAATCTAAGCAGGCAAAGGGTTGGAGATACAGAGTTTTAGCAGACACAGAGCTACAAATTACATTACTGCTTCCTTTCCTGCCTTGCCTCTGATGTACGTTCCTGTACCAGAGGGAGGTATATCCAATCCACCTACGAAACGATACCTGAAACACCACTTTCCAGTCTAGTTTGGGAGGGAAAAAAAGAGAAAGCTGTTATACTATCTGTTAAATTGTCTTCTAACTGAAAACAATTGTGTAGCAGAGACTAAATCATCAGGCAGCAGCTTCCCTTGACTTACTAAACAGAAAACTGGCAATAAAGCAAGACAGCACATATCACTGTGCAGAATTTTCTCTGTCATTACACAACAGCATAGGAAAAGAACTGAATCCTTCCAACTCCTTGGGACTGTGAATGTCTCTAATTTTCATTTCCCAGCCACAGAGTTGTGAATTTGGATTCAAATTCTAAACTAGAGCTGTGAATTCGAGGTCCTTGGCTCATCTCATCAGTTACGAGTGAACTGCTGTTGGTATTACTAACATTCCCAGCATGGCCTGCTCTCTTGCGTCTTGCCTTTCAGTGGAAGGAATTGCTCTTGTCAGTTGGGAATCCTTCCTACTGTTCGGGGAAGGCCAGCGCAGGAAGCGCAACTTATCACGTGTCAAGCCACTTTACTTAGCTATAGCCAAGCTGGGCCCAAGGATCATGAACACCCCGCACTTAACCTTCTTCAGTTCTGCTCAACTGCTGGATCACCCTGTTCTATAAATAACCTACAACAAAACCATACTACGGGACTAGAATGCAGTTCAGTAAAGAGGCAGAGTTTCCCCTCTGTCACACAGAGGTGGGCTGGCTCTACCTGAAGAGCCACAGGCAAGGCAGAAACCCGTCTCCAGAGCAGCCCGTGACCGGAGCCCCAGCTTTCAGGCCCACCAGCTGTGCAATAGGAGACTGTTACACTCAAGCTCAAACTCTCAGAGCCCGAAGCAGACCGGGCCGCGGGACATCGGCCAAGGTGGGGGGGAAGGGGACCGCAGCCGTGCTGTCATCCCCATCCCCTCAGGGGCGGCCCGGGATCACCCCCGGCTGA